TTTGCTTTTATGTATAATCTACAGTCCCAGAATTCCTTTCACTGATACAGGATGGGCCTGGTAAGGACCATGGCTTTTACGTTGAAATCCTGGTGCCAGTTTTATATGGCCTGCATACATAAGAATTCAAGCATGTATCCAAGAAAAACCGGAAAAGATTTCCTAAAGAATAATACACACTAGAATACATGCATACTCAAAGAATGAGCAGCCTTCTTTTTAAATAAGGCCGTTTACTAAAGGTAATAAAACTCACTCTCACTCTTAAGAGTCAGTCTACAGGCATAATGTAGAGAAAATAGTACTGCTTTTGCACACATTTCTACTTTATATTGGTAAAGTAATAGTGCAAGTTAACAATAGGTGAAATTTTCATAATTTTTCAGGGAAGAACGAGGAGACAAGGGTGGAGATTTCCCGGAGTTAAGATTCAACATATTCTGGCCATCCTTGGTCATTTTCAGTTGTCCTGGTGACTGTGAACTGTCATGCTACAGGTAATGATAGAGGCTAAAGGTGAACAGGCAAGATGAGATTAGGGATATGTTCTCCAGCAAAGGAATCACTTGGTCTGGAAGGTCACAAGGGAAGCCTAAATTGTGCCTGATAACTTGGATGACTGAGGCCCTGCAGAATTTGTGCACCAGAAGATAATCCTCTCAGCAACTCCTCCCCTGTTTGAATTACCCACATTCTTGGAGCATAATAAATGAATGTTCACCCATCCACCTTTGTTAAACAGGTATAAAAGTTTTTATTGGGAACCCTGTTTTAGGAAGTCCTTCCTGTGAATTGCAGGCTTCCCTGCCTCACTCTTCCTTCCATCTTTTTTCCTAAATAAAGTCTTTTACTGAATTCAGCAATTTGTTCTCTAATCCCTTGCTTTCAGTTTTGGCAGCTTGAGGACAAAACCTGAACGTCTATGCCCACTACAACAGTAGGTGTGATTTTTATTCAATAAATATATGACAAGAAACTGGAAATTGAACATCAGTTCTTCATTCTTGAGTGACTTTGCTCCAACCATGAATCTTGGTTTTCATTTCTCTCACTTTGTGGGATGTTTAATATTGATAATATTATATATTTTGGCAAAGCTTTATATGGTTCCTATATAAAATAAATGTAGTTTCAAAGAATGGATAAATTCTGCATAAGGGAACTTTTTTTAACCAAAAAGTCAACCAACTTTTTAATGGAACGTAGTAACTTCAATCATTTACACATCACATGTATACTGGTGTTTTCCCTGTCTCAGCATGCTCAATCTATGTGCTGCATTGAATTATTAATCAATCCAGTTAACTCATTAAAAGACATTTGCTAGGTCCTTGTCTGGCCAAAACTATGCTAATTTTTTTGCTTAATTGCATTAAAAATAAATAAACCCCTTGGAGGCCCATTTTTTTCTTGAAGTTGGCAAAGGTTGAGATTGCTCTTACAGTAGAGCATTATTAGACACGTTTTTCTTTTGCTTTCCTTTTGGAGACAACCTAGACTGTGGAGAGTAAGAAGTTGCAATTAATCAGAATCTTGTAGCAAAAGCTGAGGTTTTAGCATTAGAATTACCACTGTAAACACCTCATTTTGTAGCCAGAGGAAGTAATTGAGATACTGCTTTCAGAACCAAAATTCAGATGGTGAAAGCAAAAGCAAATGTAATTTTGACATGTGTGTGGAATAGTATTCAGGTGAGGAGTACATATTCCAGGATGGTTTCAACAATAATTAGAGTCACTCATTTTCATAAAAAGTCAGGTCTGAAAATCTGGATCATGTATTGTGATTGTGTACATACCTGAAAATGAGATGGAGGGCTTCAAAATCCATAGCCTTTCTCTGGTTTTATATCCAGTGTTCAGTGCTGAATGCGTGGTTTCTCATTTAGTCCACAGGGTTTAATTACCACACAAGACCAACTGCACTCCCATAGGAGAAATACATTCCAAAACAGTTTTTTTTATTTGAATTGTTATATAATAAGTTATTCCATGGAGATTTCATGCTTTCAGTCCTCTGAGAACTTTGGGAAGTACTTACGAAACAGGTAAACACAAGATTTTAAGTTAGCTGATATATGTTCCAGTTTTCCCAGGCTGAGATTTAGAACCCAAAAAATATTAGAAGTGTATTTTCTCTTGTTAAAAAATTTTTAATACAACATTAGGTACATGTTTGTTAAGCAGACTGATCACAGTTTTCTTTGTGACTGATGAAATCTTTATTTGGAAATATAGGATTAGGATAAATAGCTTAAACACTAATCTGTCTGAATATTCTAGACAGTAAAAACTTTTCCTGAAATTCAATTTATTTTATAAATTTTATTATTCAGCTAATTGAAGCAGCTTAACCACATAAACCATATTCCTTGAAACTCAAATCTGATTTTTGAAACATCTCAGCATAAGTAAAGGATGACATCACACATGTAATGGCATTAAGGATTAAGACAACCATTTAGTTAATTCCAGCTTTAAAACTCTCCTTTCCAATAACATGAATAAATATTTTAAACAAAATTACTAAAAGCTAAATTATCTGAAATGCTGCCTTAATTTTCTATTGAACATCCCATGGGTGTACTTCTGACAGTATTACTTTTCTAAACAGATGCATAATTTACATGTTTGTATTTATGACATATTAAATTTACAGATTTCTCTTTTAAACTCCCTTAGTTAAGGCTCTCCTATTAGATTTACCAAATATTTCTAAAATAGTAATATACCCACCTCATAACTACAGATCACAGCTGTATTCATTAAACTGAAGAAAATCTGAAGCATTATTAATTTGACTTTAGATAAGTCACTTTTGGAAGAGGCTGCATTTTAACTTCTTTATTAAAGCACCTGCATTGAGATGCTCAGTGTGGATGAAGAAATGACAGAATTAGGGCTGCATAACTCTCTATGTTTTATTATTTTAAAATAGGAGATTTGTCTCTAAGCAAACTTTAATTGGCTTATTTTTCTGAGGCTATTTCAATGATCTACTGCATTGATTCCCAGAAATGGTTCACAGCGGGGTCATCTGTAATATTTCAAAATAGTTCACTTAAGGTTTCTTCCATAGTTCTGGACCTGAATCTATGGGAAAGTGTGTCTAAGGTATCTAGGTGTTACAAAGTCTCTTCAGATAATCCAAATAGCTTTAGTTTTTCTGATTTTTTTTTTAGTTTTTTTTTTTTTGAGTCACAGCTGTTGGTGCACTGGACTTACTCTTGGTGTTGCTCAGGGTACCATCGGAAGCGCTGGGGATTGAACCCACGTCATCAGAGTGCAAGGCAAATGCCCTACCTACTGTACTATTGAGCTGGAACGATAGAACAGCGGGTAGGGCATTTGCCTTGCACGTGGCCTACCCAGGTTCATTTCCTCTGTCCCTCTTAGAGAGCCCAGCAAGTTACTGAGAGTATTCCGCCCGCACAGCAGAGCCTGGCAAGCTCCCCATGGTGTATGCCTAAAACAGTAACAAGTCTCACAATGGAGTTACCGGTGCCCACTAGAGCAAATTGATGAACAATGGGAGGATAGTGCTACAGTGCTACTGTACTATTGCTCCAGCTCCAACAATCTTCATAACGTTAGTTATGGTTTAATCGCCAATGAGAATATCGACCCTTCTCATTTCATATCTCTATCATGAGTTTAAACCAACTGCATGACCTGTAGAAATATCATTATTGTGACTACTAAGCCAGTTAGAGATGAATTACAGTTAGAAACTACTTTGAAGATCCTACGTGATTATGGACTTCAGAATTTATACGCAATGCCTCAACTGTGTCAAAAGAATTGATTTTTCTGAATTTGACTTTTTTGTGGGGTGAAAAAAGCACATACGATAATGGAGAGCTGATCTTTGCAAAATGTCCAGAAATTATAAAGTGTGTATCTAAAGTGAGAAGAGTATGCCCGTGCTCTTAAGACAGGCCATTGGATATTCGGACAATGAGCATTTCAGCGCTATGAAAGGATAAGCTGATATATACGTAGGGCAGAAATTCAGACATTAACCATTATTTTATTCACGTTGGATAACTACTGAATAGACAGGAGAGTTCTTAGAAAGTTCTATTTCCTTCCTGGAAAAAATAAGGGGCACCTCCTACTTTTCTAGGGGTACAGGGGACAGTGTCAAGGTAAAATGGGCATCAGGCATCAAGCACTGTGCCTGAGAAAGTTGATGCCTTTGATTTCTGTTGCTGAGACCTCACTGAGCATTGTTCAGGGAATGGTTAACTCTCTTTCAGGACTAGCCAAAGAAACACATTTGTGCTCACTCTTAAGTGTCTCTACTCCCCATTCCTCCTCCGCCCCCCTTCCGCCCCCCCTCCGCCCCCGTTAATTTTTAACACCCCCTTAGATCCTCTTCACTTTAAGGCAGGTCCTTTGACCTAAGCAGATTAATGTGGTTGCATGAAGGACGCAGCCCAAGAGCCTAAGTTTTTAAGGAAGAGATTTGGCTCCAAATAGGACACTAAGCTTTTCAGCCTCCGCGTCTTTACTTAGTCAGCAGGATGCAGTGTCTCTGGGTGCTTAGTGGACTCCTGGGGAATCAGGAGGGAAACAAAAGCAGAAGTGGCAGCCGCTGCAAATGTGGGAGTCTGCGCCATTAGAGGAAGCAGTTGCTAATAAGGGCCTGTGAGACCTAGGTTTCCTTGGTTTCCATGACAGTTATTAGGGACCATAGAAATTGAATTGTCTCCCACAATGCTCTTAAGGGAGAGGGGGTGCTGCAGTGACAAAGCAGTGCAGTTATGACCTGCAGTCAATTGTCCTCTGGAGAATGCATTGTTCCCCGGGTTATTTGCTTTTGCATTTCTTTTCAACTCCCAATGTGTTTGACATTTTGGCCAGAGACCCTGGCTTCTGCTGTACCGTGTCTCAAACACTATCCCCCCCTCCTTTTTTTTTTTATTTAGATCTGAGCTGAGCAAAGCAAGGATATGAACAATTGTGCAGGTGGGCTACTCAGGGCGAGTGAAGAGATAAGGCATCCATTCAGGTACTGGCAGCCCGCAGCCCTGCCAATATGCCCCTCCACCAGATATCTATAATCCCAGCACGGGAGACCGCCTGCAATGGGAGAAGTTCAATGGGCAGAAACAAAGAGAAGAACAAGGAAGTTGAGGTAAGAGGAGGTTTGATTTGATAAATCAGGGCAGGCTGCTGCTCTTTGCTCCACAGGATGTGACTCACGCTTACCAGCAGCCAGATTCCAGGTCTCAGGATGGAATATGAAGAGAATCGTTTGTCACTAACAGGAGCACAGCAAATGCCACCTCAATTTTTTGAATGAAGAAAGGGAACAGTTTTGTTACTTGCTACTTAATAGATCAAAAACACTCCCCAAAACACTCTTTTTACCCTGGATATTCGTGTCGGCTTTTGTGGCTCAGAGGTCGCAATCCACATGTCCTGGGTGGCTGTGAACATTGCTGTTATTCATTTTCTGAGAGGGATACTATTGATGGTTGCTAACTTTGCTCACTGCACTTTGAACTTGAATGCTTAAAGCTTCAAAAGGTGACAGAGAAGCCAGGAGTGTCACTGAATACACACAACATGAATTTTGATATTTCAAGGCATCAGTGAATCTCTTACTTTCCCTACTCATTTTAAGTACATTTGAGACCCTGGCTTATTTTTTTTTTAGTTTCATTTGTATTGTTTTCTTCAGGAATAAAAGTATTATTTGAAACTTGCATGGATGAGAAATACAATATTAAACATAACTGCATTTAGGATTGTGTTTGCAGTGAACTTTCACTGGTGTTGTTTTAGATCAGTTGCTTGAAAGGTCAGATGAGAATTTGTTTCAAAGATTTTTAAGAAGAGGTTTGAGCAGAATCAATGATAATGGCTAAAGCAATTATAAATGTTTCCTTCAAAGGAAGCTTGAGATAGAATGGCAGAAACTGTAATTTTCTTGAGTAGTATAGTCCTCAGGCCTCACTGACTTTGTAAAAAATGAGCTTTCTCTACTTTAGTACTATGTTAATCTTTTTTTTTTCCCTCAAGACTAGGTGCTAGGGACAGAGTAGACAGTAAAAGACAAATAAGAAAACAAATGATCAAAGCAAATTGGAGGGAGTAGAGTGTCAAGAAGGGACTCAAGAGTGTCAAACCAGAGTAATAATATCCTGGGAGTATATTCTAGAAAGAAGAATAAATACCTTCAAATAAGAAAAGACCATTCGGGCTGGAGAGATAGCACAGCAGGTAGGGCGTTTGGCTTGCACGCGGCCGACCCGGGTTCCATTCCCAGCATCCCATATGGTCCCCTGAGCACCTCCAGGAGTAACTCCTGAGTGCAGATCCAGGAGTAACCCCTGTGCATCGCCAGGTGTGACCCAAAAAGCAAAAAAAAAAGAAAAGAAAAGAAACAAAAGACCATTTTATTGCCTTTATATATTTTGAAATGATCTTGAAAATGTCGTTGAAAAACATTCATGTCTTGATGTGACTCAAATTTCTAGAAAGATTTAGGAGAATTTACTGAAAAATTTAGTGGGAGAAATACTCTAGCAATTACCCTGCTTTAGGCATATTCACATATTCTGTCATTTCTGAGATGAAGCATCTTTAAGTACTCTTAACATTAATATTTACAGTGTTTCTTACTAATTGGACATAGATTTCTTGTCTATGACTCATTTAAATGTAATTATTAGAATGTCAAAGAATCATCTCTAAAGTTTATTGGCATGGGGTGGGAAGTTGGGAAATCTTATTAGCACTGAAAATAGACATAGAAATGGTAACTATAAAACTTATGTTTCTTAATCATCTAAATCCTTCAGATTAAACTAAAACAAATTGGAGGATAATTCATATTATATAAAATATGAAATTTTTTTTGTATCTAAAAATTGTCTGTAATTGAATGATGCTGATTTGGCTTAATTTCAGTACCCATCATTTGGCATTGTGACTACCAGAAATCTCCTGCTGTTCCTTGATGATGAATAAGATTAAAGCCAAGGTTGTTTATGTGACTTTAAAAAGCAATAAACTTGTGGGTTTTTTCACTAGAAATGATAATTAAATTATTCTACTCCCCGCAAATAAGCCAAAATGTTTTAGACTCTGATCTGAAGCTACCTATTCAGACAAATTTTCATGAAGTATCTATAAGTGAGAAGCTCTGTATCTCTTGGGAGCATATACACTAAATATGACACTGCAAGTCAGTGAGTATTATTAAAAGAAAATTAGGTTAATTATAAAACAAATGAAACTCACAATGTCTATAATTTTTAAAAGGGCATGATTCAGAAAAAATATTAGAGCATATGGTTTCAAGATTCTAATTTTGCTTTGTTCTTGATAAGATTTAGTTAAATGTTTCTTTAAATGTTCATTTGAAACATAATCAATCTTACAGACTATCACTTGCTTTAACGAACAAAATGAGTTGTCTAAAAGAGGTATAAATGCTACGTAAGGTGACCAAATTAAACAACATATTCTGTGTAGTGGCTAACAGGAATGTATTAACTTTTTTTTTTGGGGGGGGGTGGAGTCACATAGTAGCTCTCTGGGACCATATAAGGCCCATGCAATGACATGAACTCTTTCCCTTTGAACTATGTCCCCACCCTCTGGAAAGTTACTTTTGTAATTTCAAGTGTTAGTTCTTCATGAATGAAGAGAAAATGTCTTATACACATATGGACATTTTCTTGATTTTTGAACATGTATGTAGCAATGAACTTTGTAGCTTCCTTAGTGTATTTCGCTATCACTAAAAATTCAAATATATATATATATATATATATATATACACACACAATTAGCAAACTTCAGAATTAAGAATTAATCGTTTCAATGAATCAACTTATTATTTTTTTTATTTTTTTTATTTTTTTTTTTATTAGTGAAACACCATGAGGTACAAACTTTCGTGCTTGTGTTCCAGTTACACAATGATCAAGTACCCATGCCTCCACCAGTGTCCATTACCCACCACCAATGATCCCAGTGTCCCTCCCACCACCCCCATCCCATCCCCCCACCCCACCCCACCTTTGTGGTAAGACATTCCCTTTTGCTCTCTCACTTTCTCTCCTTTTGGGTGTTGTAGTTTGCAATAGAGGTATGAAGTGGCTATCATGTTCGGTCCATAGTCCACTTTTAGCCCACATCTCCCATACCGAGTGGTCCCTCCTAGCACACTTTACTTGGTGGACCCTTCTCTATCTGAGCTGCCTTTTCTCCCAGCATGTGAGGCTGACTTCTAGGCTGTGGAGTAATCCTCCTGGTACTTATCACTACTATTCTTGGGTGTTAGCCTCCCATTCTGTTACCTTATATTCCACAAATGAGTACAATCTTTCTATGTCTGTCTCTCTTTTTCTGACTCACTTCACTCAACATGATACCTTCCATGTTGAACCACCTATATGCAAATTCATGACTTCATCTTTTCTAACCACTACATAGTATTCCATTGTGTATATGTACCAAAGTTTCCTTAACAAGTTATCTGTTCTCAGGTGTTTTCCAGATTTTGGCTATTGTAAATGGTGCTGCAATGAACATATAAGTGCAGATGTCAATTCTACTATACCTTTTCTGCATTTCCGGGATATATTCTCAGAAGTGGTCTTGCTATGTCAAATGGGAACTTAATTTCTAAGTTTGTTTGATTTGGTTCTCCATGTCTGTAAGTGATTAACTTCTATCTTCAGTGCATCATGGTCTGATACAATTTGATACAATTTCTATCTTCCTGATTCTATTGAGGTATGGTCTGTTTCCCAGTACATAATCTATTTTGGAAAATGATCCATGTGCACTGAAAAAATGTGTATTTTTTCTTTTTTGAAATGCAGAGCCCTGTATAGATCCATTAGCCTTCTCTCTTCTATCCCTTCCTTCAAAGCCAGTGTTTTCTTGCTGAGTTTTAATCTTGTTGATCTATCTAGAGGTGATAGGGTAGTGTTGAAGTCTCCAAGTACTATTGTATTACTAGCAACACCCTTGTTAAAATCTGCATACCCATTTAGGAGTGTGATTTTTTTTCCTGCTGTACATATCCCTTGATTAGTAAAAAAATGTCATTCACTGTCCCTTTTAGTCTTTTTTAACCTGAAATCTATGTTGTCGGATTACTAGTATGGTCAACTTGGCTCTTTTTTTAATTTTTATTAGTGAGACACCATAAGGTACAGTTGTAGACTTACAAGTTTTGTGCTTGGGTTTCAATTATACAATGAACAAATACCCATCCCTCCACCAGTGTCCATTTCCCATCACCTTCCTGGCTTTTTTGAGGGAGTTGTTTGCTTGCAGGATGGTTTTCCATCCTTTGACTTTGAGTCTGCGTTTGCTCTAACTGTTCAGATGTGTTTCTTGTATGCAGCAGAAAGTTGGGTTTAGTTTCTGAATCCATTTTGCCACTCTGTGTCTCTGATTTGGTTCATTTAGACCATTGACATCAAGGGGAATTATTGTCATGGGGTTTTGTGGCATCTTTCTTTCGGGGTTTGTTGTGCTTGTAGGTTTTTTTTTTTTTACAGTTGCCCCTTTAGTCCTTCTTTTAAGTTTGGTTTTGAGTCTGTGAAGTTCCTGAGCTTTGTTTATCCATGAAACAGTGTATCATTCCTTAAAGTTTGAGTGAGAGTTCAGCCAGATAAAGTATTCTTGGTGAGTTCATTTCATTGCGTTTTTTTCCACTAAATCCTACCTTTGTCTTCGGACTTGGACAGTTTCGTCTGATAGGTCTGCTGTAAATCTAAGGGGTGCTCCTTTGTAGGTGATTTCCTTCTTTGACCTTGTTGCTTACAGTATTGCGTCTCTATCCATGGCATCCACCATTCTGACTATGATATGTCTTGGAATTTTTTTACTAGGGTCTTTTTTAACCGGCACTCCTCAGGCTCCTTGTATCTGGATGCCTGCATTGTCCAGCTCTGTGAACTCTTCAGCAATGATATTTTTAACTGTGGCTTTTTCATTGTCTCCCTGTCCTTCTGATACTCTGACGATTCTAATGTTGTAACCCTTGAAATCATACCCTAGGTCTCTGATTCGCCTACGAGCTATTTTGAGTTCTTTTCCCATTGTTTGTTGTTGCCTTTAAGCTTCCTGCAGTTCATCTTCAAGCTCTCTGATTTCTGTCTTTTG